AACATCATGACCCTACATATGGGCAAAATATGAGCAAAATCGGCGTGAATCAGTTGGATCGGTTCCCTTGTAAGTGAAACTTTTCTAATAAACTATTTTCATGACAAAAAACAAAAAGTCAGGTATGAAAAGTTCAAGACAAAATTCAACGTTCGATTTTGAAGATATTTTAAGCTCTTTCATTACTCACTTTCACTGTTCCAATTACGATAACCATGCTCGATAAGAGATTTAACACTCTAATATTTTTTTGCGTAAGACATATAATTTCTATTTTTGTTTACGTCTAATCATCGACGCATGATATCGATCAGTGAAAAATGACGTTAAATGATATTTATTGAAGGAAAAATCCAACACTTAATTGGTGTATATTTTTTTTTCTTGCAAGCAGCATGACTGCATTTTAAAATCAAGTAAAGTCACATCATTACAGAAACTACATTTACCCTATCGACGTTACAACATATTCTTTTTTCATTTAACTAAACATCAAAATTGTACCGAGATGGAAAATGAGATGAAAGAAGTACGAATGGAGACCAATCTCGTTCCTGATTATCGTACTATTTATCAACAGTGTATGAAAACTAATATTAGAAAGATCATACGATGGCTTGATACTCGTTTGATGTCGTTTCTTTTTTTACTGGAATTCGTTGCCTATCTTAATCGAATTAATATCGGTATACATTATTTAATGCAATGTTTACCAAAATCTTAATCGGTATATTTTTATATTGAAGGTCACGTCAAAATGAGTCGTATCACCGATGATATTCAGGTGTCCTCGTCGGAGTTCGATTGGGCTGTTTCGATATTTTATTTAGCCTATGTAAGAAACAAAAAACAATATTTCAATATAGTTTGTATATTATTTTTTCGTTTAGATGATTTTTGTAATTCCAAATATTATACTTTTACGTATTTCTGGTCCAACACTTTATCTGTCAGTTAGTATGATTTTATGGGGAACGATAACATTGGGTATTGCTTTTGTGAAAAATGCTACACAATTGATTGTTGTTCGTTTTCTTCTTGTAAGTTGAATCGATGACATCGATTGACATTTTAATATGAAAATGTTAATTAAAGGGTATGACTGAAGCTGGTTTCTTTCCTGGTATCGTCATCTATCTGTCATTTTGGTATCGTAAACAAGAACAAATATTTCGAATCGCCATATTCTTCAGTGCTGCTGCGATGGCTGGTGGTATCGGTAGCATTATGGTTAGTATGATTGATTATACAGACAATTATTTGTTGTCTATTTAAAAAAAACTTCAATAGATACAAAAGATATGTTTAAATTATCTTCATTTTAGGCTTATGGTATTTCTAAAATAGATGGTTTGTGTGGCTTAAATGACTGGCAATGGATATTTTTGTTAGAAGGATTGCCAATTATTCCACTCGGCATAATAACATTTCTTTTTCTTGATAGTGTACCAGAAACTGTTCAATGTAAGTTATGAGATAAAATGATATATAAAATTTGAATATATTTTTTTTCCAATATTCAGGGTTGAATAGTGTGGAGAAAAACTTATTCTTAAATTATCTTCGTGACGATGACAACGTATCACATATTGAATCTATGCCATATAAACGATTTTCATTGATTCAATTACGTCATACATTTACTAATTGGCAATTATATTTATATACTCTGATTACGACAGGAATTTCAGCTATTATCAAAACATTTGCCAATTATCTTCCATCTCTAATCCAAGATATGCAGCTTTCCAAACTCGAATATCATATATTGACAATACCTCCATACATTCTGGCATTTATATCTTGTTTAGTGGTCGGTTATTCATCATCACATCGAAAAGAGCACTGTGTTCATCTTGTACTATGTTTATTGGTTGCTCTTGTCAGTTTTATTTTAATGATAACTATGAGCGAACAAATGAAAGTAGCACGGTATATCGGTAGTTGTTTTGCTGCTAGTGGATCATTTGCAGCTCTTCCCATTATTTTATCTTGGTTAACAAACAACGTCAACGGTCATACGAAACGAGCAATGAGTGTTGGTTTTGCCATGTTTTTAGCTCAAATTGGAGGTATTGTAGCACCTCAGGTAAATATCTGAAATATTAATTTGATTTCGACCTACAGTCGAGAACAGATTATGTTTGATAGAATACATGTCTCTTAAATTAAAATGAAATATTTAATTTTAGCATTACCATGTGAATGATCGACCAATATATCGACGAGGTCATATTATTTCTAGTGTAGTTATTGCAATTACTTTATTACTTGTTTTTACTTTACGTTACTTTTTGGCAAGAGAAAATAATCGACGAGAAAATTTGACGCATGACATGTATGAAATAGAAGCAGCTATTGAAGAGCCATGTGATCAGGTAAATTTTTATATATTCTTCTAAGCTAAGTATCTCTTACAAATGGAAATTTCTTTTTCTTGTAGCATCCCGGTATTCGATATGTATTGTAGAAGCAAATTGATTTTGAAAGTTTCTCAATAATATGATAAATTTTTACAAAAAAAATCTAGCTTGAAAAAAAAAATAAAAATAAATCATCGATTTTTTTTTTGTACGTATGATAAAAATGAAACAATATCCATCGTAAGTAGATAGTTTATGACAATGTGATACGTAAAACAATTGAATTCATATTTGAAGAAAAGAATCAATGTTCTCACAAGCAACTTTCAAGATGAACGAAAGTATCTAATACAAAATAGCATTCTATTCATCGGACAAAATCGATCTATTCTTGAAACTGCTTCATCGACTTTTCTCTCTAATTCACTATGTTAATTATTTGAGTTTCATCATTTCTTTCATTATTTTCATAAGCGTCAACATGCTCTATGTCCAACTTGTTATCATCAATTGATAACTGTATGGTTATCAACGGCAAAAAAAACACGTGTTCGTCATTGAAATGTTCTCTTTTCTCGACTTTTTCGCCATATAGCAACGTATGATATCGGAGTGATGTAAAATAGTCACGAAAACAAGAAGAAAATAATAATTTAATGACAGAAAACGAAAAAATATGTCTTATGAGGAAAGAAAATATGCGTTTAAAATTAGTTATATTGACGAAAAAAAATAGGATTGCCTAGACAAGTGGTGGAACAAGCAGACAAACTGAAAAGCGAATTTGAAACTGTCATATTGCTCTTGCCAGTTTCTGATTCGATTCGACTCAGATTTTACACATCTTTAAGTATATTAGACGACTTTCCAAAACTTAGACATGGCTATTTTATGGATTATAAATAGGATTATATATGAATCGAAAAAGAGAAATCATGATGAAAGTATCAGTTAGTGAATTTCATGTATGATGAAAAAAAAAACTTAGAAGAAAGAATGAATCGTATGTTTTACTAAAATTCTCGACAGATCAATAGATGCGAATGAATCAACGAAGAAAGAACCTTTTACTATATCGCTTAGTTGAATCGATTCGATGTCAAGTTTTTTTTTTCTACTGAAATACTATGATATTATGGCAATACAACAATTTTACACATGTCTCCCTTCTCATTTCTTTTCTTTACTGTATCAGCACTTCGGTTAGCATGTATTTGTTCACTAAAAGTATCAGTGAACAAGAAAAATTTAACCTATCTTAACACAAGAATGAACGAAACTATTATATTCAGAGAAAAAAATGATCAATACTATTTTTCGAAGAAAAAAAGAAAGAACAGGATAGAATAAAAGATTATTCTCATAAATGTCCATAAAGTTATCAGCATATTCGAGTATTTTAAAAAAATATTCGATTCAGGAGTTGTCCTGGTCAAATAAATAACTGTCCTGAATGCAGAATTGAATTTCGGTTCGAATGGTCGTCTCAGATATCCAATAAAAAATCATATAGTGCCACAAAAAAAATTAAAATAACTTTTTATGCCCGAAAAATAGAGCTAAAATGCGTAATTCAGCATAATATTCAAAATACTACCTGTCCCACTAAAACAAATGACTGTCCTTGATAGAGAATTAAAGTCTAAATCGATTGATAGCCTCCGATTATTTCCAAAAAATCAGTAAGACTCTCAAAAAAATCAAATACTTTTCAATGAAAGATCTCCAGAGACTACGCATCAGAATATTCGCAAAGATATGTATTCCGATCAGATAAATCAGTGTCCCCGATAGAGAATTAAATTCTACATCGATTAACAGTTTCTCATTATTCCTTAAAAACGAGTAAGACCCTCAAAAAAATCAAATACTTTTCAATAAAAGATCTCCAGAGACCACACACCAGAATATTCGCAAAGATATGTATTCCGATCAGATAAATCAGTGTCCCCGATAGAAAATTGAATTCTACATCGATTGATAGTTTTCCATTATTTCTTAAAAACCAGTAAAGCCATCAAAAAAATCAAATACTTTCCAATGAAAGATCTCCAGAGACTACACACCAGAATATTCGCAAAGATATGTATTCCGATCAGATAAATCAGTGTCCCCGATAGAGAATTAAATTCTAGATCAATTAACAGTTTCTCATTATTCCTTAAAAATCAGTAAGACCCTCAGAAAATGAAAATTCTTGTAAATGAAAGATCTTCAGAGACCGAACATTAAAATATTGATGCAAAACGGTGTTCTGGTTGAACAAATAAGTGTCCTTAATAGAGAATTAAATTTTAAAGACGGGCGCGATGATTAGTCCGAATTGTCCGCAACACCCGTCAGGTCTAGTCTAAAATGTCTTGCACACCCGTCATGACTAGTCACCTTTTAGAGAAATGTCCTTCAAACACGTCTGGACTAATCCAGAAAGTCCTTGAACCCAATCATGTCTAGTCCACTTTGTCCTTTGAACCGGCCCAGGCTAGTCCGAAGAGTAAAAAAAGAAGATGAAAGATAGATTCGAACATCCAATCCAACAGTATTCAAAACCAGATGGGCATCCTGACGGCAGACGAGGACACTGAGATAGACTGACATCAGTTTATATAGTCTAAGATACAAAATTGACTCTCGTGCATCCACTAGACAATCAGAAACCAGTCGATGTCACACGACTTTGACTAGTCTAAAACGTCTTTGATAGAGTCAGGACTAGTCCGAAGCGTTGTCTGCACACGTTATGACTAGTCCTTTTTTAACGAGTATATCACCCGTTCTAGTCAGACTAGTCTGAAAACTCTAAACAACCAACTTCCTTTGGACCAAATATATCTTGTCAATTCGTTTATACTGATCAATAGTGGAAAGCACAAGAGGTAGAATGCGAGTAGAAAACTTTTCAATATCTATATCATTTGTTAAAAATAATCGATAGATAATCAGATCCATTTAGAACATGGACTAGATAGTAAAATGACAATCGTTTTATTTCCTATCTTGTACTGAAACCTTTGTAGATTGATGATTTGGCATGATCTGTTATACTATGATGACGGAAATTAATGACATGCATTTGTTTTATCTTAAAATTATGTTGATTGTCACCGGTGTTATTAATTTTGTTTCTAGCTAGAACGACAGTTAGAGAGTCTGCTATAATCAATGGTGAGGTCAAAGATAGATAGTATACTCTGTAAATCTCTGTCTTAATATATCTTATTGTAAAAAGCAGAAGTAGGTACAAAGATCAATATTTATCTGGTGGTGAGGAATGCCAATTTATTTATATTAAAATTATTAGATGTACTAAATTTAAAAAAACTTAAAAATAACTCAATTTTTTTTATATCATAATTTTATGTTATTTTATTTTAAATATAAATTCTAATAATTTTAAAGAAAACCACTCTTCCATTGTAAATTCGATTTTTCTCAGTTTATGCTTTCTTAGTCGTGGATGCAAAAATTTTCTCGCTAGGTTCATTATACATATTTCATTTATTTTGTTTTGAAAGTGCATATCAAGATGCAATGCACTACAGAGTCCTTTTTTTAGTTGTATATAGAGACACTTATCTTCTGTTAAAAACTAATATGAGTTTCCTGCATTTCTAATTCTTTGAGGATAGGTTGACCTATAATATCTAGTGATCATTGATCAACATGTATTCTATTTTCTCAAGATCTTACTAATTTCTAGAAACTATATAAAGACAGTCAATCGATGTAGGATTTAATTCTCTAATAGGAACATCTTTTTGTTCTGCCACAATACCTTTCTTTGCGAATATTATGATGCGTGGTCTCTGGAGATCTTCCATCTAGAAGTATTTGCTTTGTTCGAAGGTCTTACTGATTTTTAAGAAATAATGGGAAACTATCAATCAATGTAAAATTTAAATCTCTATCAAGGACACTTATTTGTTCAACCAGAACACCGTTTTGCATCAATATTTTAATGTTCTGTCTCTGGAGATCTTTCATTGAAAAGTATTTGATTTTTTGGAGGGTCTTACTGATTTTTTGGAACTAATGAGAGATTATAAATCGATGTAAAATTTAATTCTCTATTGGGGACACTGATTTATCTGATCGGAATACATATCTTTGCGAATATTCTGGTGTGTAGTCTCTGGAGATCTTTCATTGAAAAGTATTTGATTTTTTTGAGGGTCTTACTGATTTTTTGGAACTAATGAGAGACTATAAATCGATGTAGAATTTAATTCTCTATCGGGGACACTGATTTATCTGATCGGAATACATATCTTTGCGAATATTCTGGTGTGTGGTCTCTGGAGATCTTTCATTGAAAAGTATTTGATTTTTTGGAGGGTCTTACTGATTTTTTTGGAACTAATGAGAGACTATAAATCGATGTAAAATTTAATTCTCTATCGGGGACACTGATTTATCTGATCGGAATACATATCTTTGCGAATATTCTGATGTGTGGTCTCTGGAGATCTTTTATTGAAAAGTATTTGATTTTTTTGAGGGTCTTACTGGTTTTTAGGAAATAATGAGAGACTATAAATCGATGTAGAATTTAATTCTCTATCAGGGACACTTATTTGTTTGATTAGAACACTGTTTTTTGCGAATATTTTGATGTCTGATCTCTGGAGATCTTTCATTGAAAAGTATTTGATTTTTTTGAGAGTCTTACTGATTTTTTGGAAATAATCGGAGGCTATCAATCGATTTAGACTTTAATTCTCTATCAAGGACAGTCATTTGTTTTAGTGGGACAGGTAGTATTTTGAATATTATGCTGAATTACGCTTTTTAGCTCTATTTTTCGGGCATAAAAAGTTATTTTAATTTTTTTTGTGGCACTATATGATTTTTCATTGGATATCTGAGACGACCATTCGAACCGAAATTCAATTCTGCATTCAGGACAGTTATTTATTTGACCAGGACAACTCCTGAATCGAATATTTTTTAAAAATACTCGAATATGCTGATAACTTTATGGACATTTCTCATAAGACTTCCCACGGAGTCAGCATAGGCAATTTCATTTTGTTTAAGTAAATAACCGTCTTTTTAGACATCATCTCATCACAGGTAATTTTACTTGTATGCAAATATCTGCTTCTCA